CCTTATTTCTTGAAGCGAGGAAAATCTCGTAAATGATTATGCAAGGCAGAGAAAACAATTTTTGTACGACGTCAGCCATGCGTCTGAACTCTTAGAGATCTTTGGTGACTGATCACGAACAGTTTTTCGCATAAGTAAAGTTTGTTTCAAAAAAAGTGCGAAGTTCAGATTTTTATTCACGATTTGGAAAACTTGGGAAAGTGAACGAATTGTTTAGTTCAGTAAACTATTTTTTGTTCCCATTTTTTTTTTCGACGCGTTCTGATGTGGATGAAACAAAGTACAGATGCATGGAGTAACTTTGTCACGCCATCAACCAATCTGCGCAATGGCTGAATATTTCCCGGACTTCTATGTCTTGCATGACCTAGAACACGAATATGAAAACGAGCTCCTGGCTTCAACTTATCCAGAACAACTTGTAAATAATAGGACAAATTACATGGAGATAGAGAGAGAAGTTGCGGAACTAATGTATTAATGAAAACACCGAATCAGCTAGTAGCAACAAGAGAAATAAACAACTGTTTGCAGCCATGTCAATCTCCAAAATTGACGAAATTACAACGTGAGCAGAGACGTAAAACACCAATGAGAAGGTTTTTGAAGGTTCTCACGCTTTAAGACTGTCTCAAGCATAAGTACGGTAAAAGAATTCAAACACTGCTAACACACATATGATAAATAGTAATAGTTTTCTTCAAAAACAAATCAAACAGGAATGATGAAATACCTGCTGACTCACGGAGCTATTTCATTTTGCGAACCATTTCAGCTTGTGAACTATTTCAGTTTGTGTGCTATTTCAGTTTGTGATCTTGATGGTTTTACAGTTTGACTGCTTTAATCTTATTTAATCAAATTATATGAACCGATCTAACAAAGGTTCAGATCGGTCTATTTTGGCGTGCTTTATGAGAGTACCTCGTTTCGTTTGGAAATAAAGTTTTTTTGAAAATTTTCACGAATGCGTGGCGAAATTAACGTTTTCTCCATCATGAAACTAATAAAAAAACAATTGGGAAGCGGCCAGAGCACTCAACAAGAAGTAGGGAAAACCCTCGACTACGTCTCGTGTTTCCCTTTCACTCTCCAGCCGCTTCCTGCGTGCTTTACAACAGAGCAAAGCACAATCAAGGCTTCTTTATTTGTGGCCCGTAAAGAGGCATTACTGACTATACCGAGGCTATGCCCACATAACAGGAGTGGGTGCAGCGAACGAGTGACTTTCCTAAGTTTTGCAACGAGTGAATAAAATTCTGTGCAAAGCACTTTCGATGCTGTAATTTGTTTATTATGTATAAATACATACACAACGAGAATTAAACATATCAGTGTTATCTTTCCCGAAATCATAGGCTTGCATACAGAACCGCAAAAAATTCAAGAGAGAATCGTAAGAGAATCGTAAAAGTGCGCAACATGTTAACGCAATATTCATTATTAAATATTATCCGTATCAGATATAGAAAAACTAAATTTTAACTCATAGAAATATATCATCTTCTTTATGAACGTCAACCGTCAATATAGATGACCCAAACGTACGTGCATGTGATTTGGGGGTTTAAAGGTCATAAACAGGAACATGTAATACCAGGAGAATATTAACCTGAAGATGCGTATTAACTTGAGTAGTACAAGCTAAACTTTCCTCGGTATGAAATCTATCCCCTTGTCAGATTTATTAAATTTCTCTTTAGTTCATTGAAGTTGAAATTCCCTCAATATTACACGGTTGTGGGATAAATTTAGATTGAATTTTGAGCATTCGCGTGTGCCATGATGATAAAAACGTGACAGCTTTTATTGAATTCCTTTGTACCGTATTTTGGGCATTATACATATCAAGTATAATATCTCTTTAGGCCTTTCCCCCACCCCTCCCCCCACTACCGCTGCCTCTATCTCCAAATCAAACATGGCTGGTTGAATAAACGATCGCGAGTTTCTTAAAGTTAACTATCCCTAATAAGACGCTTGCACTGCAGGCTACACATAGCACGTCTTGCAAAAGTTAATCCAAAAATAAGTTTTCGTGATTTTTCTTTCAGGTATTGTGGTGCTTCTTCCGAAAGCAGCAAGTGTTACTGGTAAGTGTTGTAGTGCATCAATTTACGTGATTCTCGTCTTTGGTTTAAGTAAAAATGTTTCGGTGAATTTTAGCTACGAAATGACAATTGAATAAGGTAAGATATGTAGGAGATATACGAATTCATTGCCATATTTTATAAACTTTGTGTCAATGAATGTTCAGGCAGTCGACATAAAAGTATTACAAGCAATCGAATTGAATCAGTGTTTTGCTTGCTGTTTTACTATAGACACCGACGAGACAAAATTCCAAGGCTTTCTCCCTTGAAAAACATGATAATTGTTCAATTTTTGTGTGGGTGTATTTGTGTGAGATCGACTTCTCTCGATTGCCGAACTCAGTAAAAACTCGATCCACGGATCGAGATGGGAAGAGGTCGCCTGGTATACCGTGTGCAAAGATTCAATACACGATGAACTCAGTGTTTCTATCTGTTCCCACGTCTTAAAAACACATTTTTAATCTGCGGCCGGACTGGTTATAGGCACTAACATCCGCAGCAGCAACTAGTGGTCGTTTAGAACTGAACCACTCTTGAAAGTAAATGTCATGTATTATACACGTAACAATCACCAAAAGAGTATGGGGAGAGTGAACTATAGAAGACACATGGTCGACTTATTTGTGTACATTTGTCTTTTTTCATCGGTTATTTACCTAACGAGTACACAACAATAACCGTGGCTTTAAATTCTTTCGACAATACCATACGCATCAGTAATGACTGGATCAGAGGTTCTACTGAGCTTTAAAAAAAACTCCATCGGTTTTTGTGTAAAGGAAAATCACTTTCTTTTCAACGGACAGCTTAGTTGATGCAAAGCTTAGGCTGGCTTTTCTCCGTCAATCACCTGTGCGCATTTCACTCGGACGAGCATGAGGTCATGAGCGGTGTGACCATGTGCTTTGTTCGTTTTCTCTTAGGCGTGGTTTTTCCATTCACGAAGGTTGCGGGGATTCCACGGCTCTGGCAACGGCTCGGTTACGTGGGATATGGTTTTCGGTCTTCTTTTTTTAAGTTGATGGGCCGGAAAGCTATCTACATCTCGAATTGAAGTATTTGCCATGTTTAGTAAGACGAGATATTTTTCTCATTCTGAGTTCATGGTTTTGCTTAGTCTAAGCATCGTTATCCTTACAACAAATTCTACTTTGCCTTTGGCTCCGCTTCTTGGCTGAGATGGTCATGAGCTGGATGCATCTTGATGAGCGTCACGATGATTACCATAGTAATCTGAGCTTCTACATGACTCTTGGATACGTCATATTAGTGAGCCGGATTAGTACCCAGAAGTATGACTTGTAGTACAAGCGATGAGATTTGTAATTAATCCTTGAGATTTTCGTTAATTAGGCCAAAACAGGAGTTCCCATTTTTTTAATTAAGAAATTTTCTAAAAGGGCATCAATACGACCAAGTAGTTTCTTCTTTTTTCCCCGCGTCCATCATGACACCTTTAGGGATTTTCGGCAAATATTTCCCTGGCACTTCACAACAAGGTAGCAACCTTTAGACACCTACAACATATGGTTGAAAGGTGGAAAAATTTATCAACAGAATGGGCATTTTTTACCGCGTATAAAACCATTCCTGAAAATGTCCAACACTTCCACGGAAACTCCATGCAACGCCAGCGCCGCTCTTTTCGTTAATTCATAGGCGTAAGCATTAGCATGCTGAAATGCATGCGTGTTATTGAGCAAGAGCTATTGCAACGGAATGATCGGCTTTGTTAAATGTCAATTTTCCGAAATACATATGTAGAAAGCCTAAATCTTTTGACTTTATGCACTTCAACATAAATTTCCCATCGATCAAAGTAAGAATTCTCCAAAACCGCACCTATCCAGCGAACTTAAGTAACTTAAGATAAGAATTCAAGGCGTTCCGCATGGTGTTTCCAATTCACACCTATCGTAAATTCCTTCTTGCGACCCAAATACGGCAAATAAGTATATCATTAGTCTCCCGACAGCGAGACTGGCCATTCCGCCGCTTTCGTCGCCATTTATATTATTTGAAAGAAGATGGCAAGGGTAAAACGAACTTAGAACAGATCAGAGCGTACAATTCTGCTTGTTAGTATAACTGCCGAAATCTGCACAAAGGTAAGAAACATCATACAGCGAGAATAGTTATCACAAAGAACACCACTGACAACATAACACTACACTTTCCACAACTGAATAACGCTACATCCCTACGAGACTATGACCTGATAAGGTCCAGCTCATCTCCTTGTAACGACATATTTCGTCCGACGAGCAACCGCCATCTTTTCATAATCATGATGGAGTTTCTTGATCAAAAGTAGTTTGCTGAAGGAAAGAGTAAATTAGTATTATCAAATCAGTTGATAATGCTAAATTACTCTGTCATACTCTTCCACCTACGCAGCACCATAGTTTTTTAGAAATATACCCCCTTTATTTATTTGCTGAAGAAAAGACGTGCAAACATCAAAAGCAAAATTTAGCTTAAACCCGGCGTTTCGGTGACATAATGTGTTTATCTCGTAGTGTCTCTCATAAACCTAAATAAAGGAATGACATCCACTAGTCGTGGATTCCTTGCCATCAAGTCCATAGACGCGCTCGCGCAAGTGCCCGTGTGTAGTCACATTGGCTGAATCCTACAAGCTTCGTAAGACAGTTTCACTTGCTTGATTAGTGAGTAAGGAGAAGTTGGACTCCATCATCAAAGAGACGTTTTTTTAACGCAGGCTTGTATTGAATATGTATTGTGTGAAACTCGGATTTCTCTTGATAAACATTGTAAGAGGCTCTCCATATTTTACTCTGTATTTAATTGTTTACGATATTTCTTCAAATAGCTTGCTAAGATTACAAATCAACCATTACCTCCTTTAAAATAACTGGTTTATTTCTGTTCACACCAAACCAGTTGTTCGTCTAATAAATTCCAACAATTCGCCTTCTTCTGGTCGCGTTGAAGTGCTGTACAATGGCACATGGGGAACCATCTCTGGCAGCTATTGGGACCTAAAGGACGCTGATGTAGTTTGTCGCCAGCTTGGTCACGATGGAGCCTTGTCAGCGCCTCGCTATACAGTATTTGGACGACGAACTGGTCCGATATGGCTGGATCACGTGCAATGTGAAGGAGATGAGACATCCATAACACAGTGCATTCACAGAATATGGGGAGTTCACTCATACTGGCCTTTTTCAGCTGCTGGTGTGGCGTGCCGACCCAAAGGTAGAGTAACGATACGAGCACTTTTTATTGCCATATTTACTAAGAATGTAAAGAGCCAAACAGAACACGAGAAAGACGTTGCAAAATTTGACAGTAATAAAATTAACCTTTCCTTCACGGACGATGGGAAGCCCACAAATCTGGGCATACTGAGGACGCTGGAGTAGTTTGTCGACTAGCGGGTAAGGATGTAATACTCCTACATCATACATAATTTAGAAGACACAAACGTTCTCTCAATTCTTTATTTTTCATAACCTATAATGCTAGCAGGGCGAATTCGAGTAAACCAAAATGTTACCGCCCCTTTTCTCAAAGGGCATTTCTAGTGTTGATATGTTCATATTTTCTTTTATTCTGTCGAACGATCTGGTCGAATGCAATTTATCATATATACCTAGCTCAGAGCCGTTGCCTGACTTCAGAACAAGGCGAGGAAAGTTTCGAGCGCCGAAGGCGCGAGCCGCCAGGGGGTCTGAGGGCATGCCCCCCCCTCCCCCAGAAAAAATTGAAATCTAGAGGTTCAGATGGCAGTTTTGGCAGTTTTCTTCAATCTTGGGCCAAAATCAAGACGAGGCAATTGCCTCGTCTTGCCTCACGCTAGCTACGGTCCTGTAGCTAAATTTTATCCTTATACTCGCAGTTCGTTTGGTGAGCCCCACCAATTTACCGTCATCTGGTCGTGTTGAAGTGTTTTATAATGGGAAATGGGGAACCATTTGTGATAACTTATGGGGCTCACAGGACGCTGATGTAGTGTGTCGCCAGCTTGGATACGATGGAGCTTTATTAGCACCTAGAGCCGCAGCGTTTGGACAAGGAACTGGTCCGATATGGCTGGATAAGGTTGGATGTTTTGGAAATGAGAAATCCATATTGCGATGCAGTCACCAAGGATGGGGAATTGAGAACTGTGGGCATAGTAAAGACGCTGGTGTGGTTTGCCAACCCATAGGTAGAGTAACGATACGAGTACGTTGTATTACCATCTTTAGCAAGCATAGAAATAGACTAATCAGAATTAGAGAAAGCCGTTGCATATTCGACAGTAATTCAATTAAACTTTTTCACCGCGCGATCTTATTCCCACACAACAATTCTTTAAAGCGTTTGACTGCAACCTTTAATGAAAGCCCTAAATTGTATTCAGGATGATTGACTTTAGAATCAACAACAACAACAACTGAAGCTCATATAGCTTGGAATGTGTTCATCACTGGGTATAGTAATGAGCAATAATAAAGTGAAGCTATGTAGTGTATCTAAAGGCTGAAGGCTTTTTAATATCGCTATTACTGGACTCCACCAAATGAGACGATAAAACTCATGAGTTGGCTTTTTTCGATGGCTTTGTTTCTTTTCGACAGAAATACTCGGAGGATAAATATCGACGGGGTTATTGCGTGATAGCAGTCCAGTGATTTAGCACCACTGACCTAAAGTAGCCAATAAAATTGCGCGAAAATTAATTTGCTCAGACAAAGACTAAACGCTGGACGTGTCAATCGTTTAAAATGCCAAAATGCCAAAACTCGCTATGGCGGCTTACTTCTTGGTGATAATCCTTGATGTATAGCCCTTTGCAAGGCATTGCGTGAAACAATCTTCGATGTAGCTCTCATTAGGGAAGGTGATGAGGTACTGAAATCGATTCTCTACAGACAAAGAGTCTCGCTAAGACTGGTCCTCTCAATTTCGCGGGATAAAAGCTGTTTTAATTAAGAAAATGCTTTGCGACAAATTATCAAGAAGACGTTTCGTCCTTATTCCCTCAATTAAGAACATTATCCTCTGCTATTAGTCGGTGTATGACATACCGTCGTTCCTTGGTATAAATGACGATGATGAATCGTTCAGATGCCAAGTAGAAGTCTGCTACTTCGGCTAAGAAGATTGTTTAAAAGGCCGTTAAGGCGTTTATCTAGAAGAGACAGGTCCTTTTTTGTCGAGTAATCTGCTGTAGTTTTGTAGTTTATGAAAGAATGAAGTAGCGGTTGCACTTGTTCAATAAAGACAGGGATAAAAAATTCAATTGCAGTAGTCCATACCCTGAAAGTTTTAAAATTCGCTCGGTTTGACTCTTTCGCATTTACGATGATGTGCAAGCGAATAGAGCATTTGCAAGGATGATTTAGAGCCAGGATTGATTGAGACAACTCTGCTAAAGACAGGTTGTTGAAAGTTGTTTCTCAAATTGGCGTAATATGGCAGCCTCGAGTGAAGAAAGTGTTATCCTCTTGTAGATACAAGATAGTGACTTCAACCTTTGCACTCCGAGTCGGTTTTCTTGTATTGCTCGACAACACTAAGATGAAGAGGACGCAAAAAATCAGAGAAAGGTAAATCTGATTCGAAGTATAAATATCAACTGTCGTCTTGATAGAGGTACAAAGAGATTTTCCGAGTGCCATGCTTCCCGCCGAAGGGTAAATAATTTCTGTAAGCGTTTTGAAAACAAAAGTCTTCAATATCTTAAAAAGAAGAAACTAGTTCATGCGCCCGTCACCTCGCCAGGTTGTCCCATCCAAAATAATTATGATCATTCAAATGCATGAAGCCAAGTTTCTTTTCGCCTCGAGGACCTTCTCATAGCAGCTCAGGAGGCTAGTAGTTAGCCCTGAAATAATATCTGGGCTACATCTCCAGTTTGGAAAAGATGCCGCAATTGAACAGCAGATAATATTATTATTTGCAGTCAGTCAGCCAAAATCCGCTCTCTCCTAAAGAAATTGCTCAAAACTCGACAAAAAGGAGCTCAGCACGAACAAAGGATGACTCATAAGGGGTCTCCCTGCGCCGTGTGAACTAATTTATGAGGCTTATTTCGATGATTTGCTGGTGCTAGGTGTGACGAAATTCATTCGGAAACAGCGACTTTTAGAGGTCTTGATGGTTTGCAACAGTGACATTACTAATAATATGCGTGTTTGCAGTATCACAAAACCAGACAGGCTACCACAGCCTCACCACTTAGGATACGTTCCTACTTAAGATAAGTTTCCGGTTTTCTTGTATCGCTCGACAACATTAAGATTAAGATTAAAAGGACGCAAAAATTCAGGGAAAGATAAAGCGGAGAAATCTATAAATATATAAAGAGTATAAATATAGACTGTCGTCTTGATAGGCGGACAAACAGCTTTGCCGAATGCCATACTTCCCGCCGAAGGGTAAATAATTTCTGTGGTCGTTTCGAGAACAAGACTCTTCAATATCTTTTTTTAACAAAACACTAGTGGAACGGCGGTGGAATGTAAACGATACCATGGTAGACTTACTAAGCTAGTTGCTACAAAGAAGGGCGAAAGCTATGCCACTAACATTTCATGGATCAGGACAAGAGTGTCCTTTGCACTGCTGAGATCAGCATTACTTTGCTTAGAAGGCTCGCGAGCTTCTCGAAGAGTTCGTTTAGAATTGCCGGACATTGATAGGGATATTGAAAGAGAACATGCAAATATTCGTTATGGAAATTATAGCAAGTGCAAGCTTTCATTGTTTGATAAAGCATCTATAGCCAATGATTGATACATTTCTTGTTACTAGTTTGTTACTTAATAATTTTTATAAAAAATTATTTATCGGTTTGTAAAATTTTAGAAATGAAATTGGTATTTTTAGTTATTAACAAGACAGTTTTCTCATGTACATGGTCAATTTTCAAGAACTACACTTAGAAGTTGATTTTCCTGATGTAATCATTTTTAGTTCTAATTGGCAAATGAAGATTATTGAAGGCTATTAAAATTGAAAAAAAGACATGTATTATTATCATTATTCAGTTAAAGCCTGCGCTTTATTGAGACGTTTGCCCATACTGAATTGGCGAAGCTGCCAGGCTTCTCGTAATTTCTAAGGTGGTACATTGGAACCTGTTAGTTCTTACTAGTTTTCTGTTAACTTTTATGCCTACTTTACAGCTGTTCGTTTAGTGAATTCTTATTCATCACATGCTGGTCGTGTTGAACTGCAGTATAATGGTACATGGGGAACAATTTGTAGCGACTATTGGGACTTACCGGACGCAGATGTGGTTTGTCGCCAGCTTGGATACGATGGAGCTTTACGAGCAGTTAGTAACGCAGCATTTGGACAAGGAACAGGCCAGATATGGTTGGATGACGTGCAATGTTTGGGCAATGAGACATCAATATCACACTGCACTCACTTAGGATGGGGAGTTCACAATTGTCTTCACTATGAGGACGCTGGCGTAGTTTGCCGACCTGCAGGTAATGCGGCGATATACACACACAATGGACAACCCAAAGCCAAGAAATTCTCTTTCTCCCTTATATTTTTAGCCTTTTGTACAAAGTGGTGCATATAACGCTATTTTTAGTAAATCAATGCCAAGTAAAACCATCCATAACATACATGTAAAATCTCCGCTTACAAGCTATTCAGAATAATCTTTCTTTCAAAATTATTTCAAGAAGGTTCCTGTTACTTTGATAAACATCAAAATCCGTTACTGACTTAAATAAACTTTTATGAACTAGCTAAGCATCATTTCCAGCACAGAAACAGATCTTTTGACGAGCCCTCACAATGTTAAACAAGCTTTTTTATATTCTCACATTGACAACAGTTCGTTTGGTGAGCTCCACCAATTCGTTGTCGTCTGGTCGTGTTGAAGTGTTTTACAATGATACATGGGGAACCATTTGTGACCACTCATGGGACTTACAAGACGCTGATGTAGTTTGTCGCCAGCTTGGATACAATGGAGCTACATCAGCACCCCTAGCCGCAGCATTTGGACAAGCAACTGGTCAGATATGGCTGAATAACGTTAGATGTTTTGGAAATGAGAAATCCATATCACAGTGCAGTCACCAAGGATGGGGAGTTGAGAACTGTGGGCATAGTCGAGATGCTGGTGTAGTATGCCGCCAACTAAAAGGTCAGTTAGATTATGATCGTGCAAACTATTATTTTCAATCTTTTTAGTTCTCTAAATCCAATTCAATTCGATTCTTGAAAGCTTTACAACAAAGAACTTAAGGCATTCCATGGATGCACGGGTTCAAACCCCCGCCAAAGTTTAATTATTTCATATTTAATTATTTTTTCGCAACTTTTTCAACTCCAGTTCACCCGTGATGATCATTTTGTTACCTGTGATCATCCGATGGTTGAAGTAATATATAGATTTAGCCAAGCCTAAAAGCGGAGCTCGCATTTTTTTTTCCCGCACGTCTCAAGGGCACAACGCCTTTTCCTGGCCAGGACTAGAACCCGGGTCGTCCGACTCGGAGCCCAGTGCACTGACCACTGAACCACTGGACAAAACCGTGGCGTTGGCGTGCCCGCGGTACAGTTGACCACGCATGTTAAAACTCGACTAACTTGTCCGTCCTCAAATAACTAATGATATATCGCCTGAAAGCCTCAAAACTGTAGATACCATTCCAGAATATTTTCTACTTTCCGATTCAGAAAATTCAGTTCTAAGTAAGGGTTTAAATTTTGTTTCCATTTCCAAAAAGACCAATGAACTTTCAGTTAAGCAAGACGTTGAAAACTTCCTTCGCCGCGTTCAATTGAGAGCCTTTTTTCACAACAAACAGGTTGATTATAACAACTCAAACAAAGATACTTTCGAAACACTTCAGATTGTAAATTCTAAAAAAGACTCTTTCAAGAGGGCCAATTTGAATCTTTAGATTTTTTCATAAAAAAATGTCGTACGATATTAACAAACTTAAATTAAATCGCAACACCAAATTTTCCTACTTTTCTTCGGAAGAGTAGTCGACACTAAAAGGTCCGGAAAAAACGTAAAGACCTAGTTATTAAAGCGACCGACAACGGCGGCGCATTCGTTGTTTGGCGGGCCGACCTCTACTTAGAAAAGCTTTCGGGTAACTTTCTGACGCTTCTTTAGAAGCAAAAGTTGACAAAGATCTCACTTTCATCGACCAAAACATTGTCAAAAATAAGGCTAACGATCTTATAGCTAAACAAGAATTGCCGGCCACCGCAAAAAATCTCACCATTACCACTCCTTGAGCTCCGTGTATTTACTTTTTACTGAAAATCCACAGACCTAACAACCCAGGTCGACCCATCTGCCTGTAGTCGTCCTTCCGAACTTATTTCCAGCGATTTAAACAAAATTATGGTACCTATCGTCAAAACTTTACCATAATACATTAAGGAAAGTCAACATGTACTTGAAATTTTTCGCGACCTTAATTTCCTTGGCCAAAACAAACTTATTTTCACTAGGATATTACATCTCTTTAAACTGTCATTCCCGATGACGAAGTCTCCTTTAAATTACTTTAAAACGATTCAGAGACAGGTACTATCTTTTGAAAACCTCCACAAAATTCATTCAAACGCGACAAAATCATAGGCAACTTTTTGGTCAGAAGTTCATTTCAAACCAATGACCAATCTGGAACTTTCCATGCGCCCGGTCACGATGCAAAACGTATCCTTTCATTCACAACGTAGAGAAAATTTCGGGACCCAAAAGATCCATTAAGATCACTGATCACTTCACATGCACCTCTGCCAAATGTTATCTACTGCAGTTATTGAAAAAGTTATTCAGAAAGACGACTAGGTGACCGATTCCGAGAACACCTTCGCGTCGTAGAGAGAAATGGCAAGGATGCATCTAAAACATTTGCCAGACACTTTTATCACCCTAACCATTCCAAGCAGCATATGGCAGTTTGCGGCCTTTCCCTACATCTAGGCATTTCGGAAAGCCGAAAAATTCTAGAATTAAAATTTATCTTTCAAATCGGCGCCCTTAATCCCCACGATATCAGCACCTAGTGATGCAGCATTTGAACAAGAAACTGCTCGGATATGGCTGGATGACGTTAACTGTGAAGGAAATGAGATCGATAACGCAGTGCGGTCATGGAGGATGGGGAGTTCATAACTGTAGTCATGGTAAAAATGCTAACGTAGCGTGTCGCCAACTAAGAGATTATGATCTTCCAAACTGTCTGGCTCGCTGTCTAAACTATATCCTGGTGTCCTATAGCCTTTTGATCCTAAAGTCCTTGGAAAAAACCCCGAACAACTTAGAACCAATCAGAAGGCTAGATTAACCTCAGGAATGCCTTTCCATATAATAATTGCAATTGTTATATACCTAGACTTCACTTAACAAAACAAGCACTGTGATTGGTTGATTCTTGGTCACGTGCCCCTGATCAAATTCAAATGTAACCCGACCGGGATACGATTGCGCAGTTGTTGCCCGTGCGCCGAATACAGCAGCATGTTTTTTCCATATGATTGTTTAGGAGATAGTCTAAATATATAACAAAGCGCTTAATGCATGGTCCCTCGAGAAACAAGTTAGTTTTGTTTTCCCTCGAGTCCTGATGTTTCCCTCGACTTCTTCCCGGGAAACATGTTTAGTAAATTTCATTGACTCCTGAACGTTTGAATGTTTTCAGCAAAAATTTTCAACTTCCAACACGTCACGATGCATTTTCGTATAAGAATCGGAATATGAGCTGATAACCGGAGTTGTGTGAACTAATCCCGGCAGAACACTAGAAATGCAATACTTAGAGTTAAAAATTTGGTAATAACACTATGGGTTGTTTTCATTTTGATAGAAGCCTTGAAAATAAGGCTTCGGGCAGAATCTTTTGGTCCGAAGTTTTGCTATATTCCTTCCAAAGAGGAATATTTTAGCTCAATTTGGTCACCTGAACGGCCCGGCGTATGATGGACTTCCATCATAAATTTCATTGTAAGTAAGATAACTCGGCATAATTTAGCAAAGGTACATGAATTGCATGTAATTCGAGGCATTATGCATATGACAAATGCTGTAAATTCCAGTCCACGAATCATTCTGAAATATTGCAAGAAAAATGTTAGATATTTGTCACAAGAGTAATCACGAAATGTGAAAACTACGATCCGTTCCTTGAAAGCGACGTAAAAAATATTTTTTCTTTATCTACATGTTAATCACAGTCCGTTTGGTGAGTCCTGACAATTCACCGTCGTTTGGACGTGTTGAAGTCCAGTTTAATAGAACATGGGGAACAATTTGTGGGAACAACTGGGACTTAAAGGATGCTGATGCGGTTTGTCGCCAACTTGGATACGATGGGGCTTTGTCAGCCCTTAGAGATGCAGCATTTGGACAAGGAACAGGCCCGATATGGCTGAATAGGGTGCAGTGTGGAGGATCTGAGAAATCAGTCTCACAATGCGCGTACGCAGGATGGGGAGGCCATAGCTGTGGGCATCACAATGATGCTAGCGTGGTGTGCCACCAGATTAAAGGTAATTCAATTATGTACGCGCTCTTATCTCAGTAATCTTAATTCATTCTACTCCATGGTAGGGATACGGAAAATATTCAAGAAATACTTTCGTTGAGAAGAGTTAAAGACAGCATTTTTTTTCACTTAAATTTTATCAAAATCTACATAATTTTAAAATTCTACGCCTTACAATTCCTTGTAACACTATGTAACGCGCTGGGACTTTCACGCTGTACATTTGGGTGACCCGTTATGTATAGCGTTGGCAGCAAATATTGTCATTTTCTTTTGTTTACCATTTTACGAGAATCTGAGAATTTCACACTTGTTAATCTTCGTCCTTTTCACTTCTTCTTTTTTCTTCTTTTGTTTAGTTTTCTCAATTCTGCTCTTTCAATCGTTGTGATATCTATTATTGGAAGAGCTTGCGTACATGACCGACGCAGTGTTTATTTAGGAATATTTATGATGTTAGTGTCTTCATAATACGCAAAGGAATGGACTTCTCGTCTAAATGTATTGATATAGATGGCCTTTTTTAATTTTTATGATTCGGCTTAGGCTAATCAGCACGTTATAGGTCTCTTTTTTTATCAGTTAAGTAGATTTAATTAAAGAAATACAATCAAATACAATCAGGGCGGATATAATTTTATTATTTAATAATTGCTTGCACAGTTTGCTTAATGGCAAGAGAAGGTAACCATTTTCATTTCCTAAAAGGCCTTTGATATCGAGGTTCACCACGCCATGTAATATCCACCTTCACTGAGAGAGCAGTTCTTCATTCACCTTTTTTTCCTTCTAGGTGCACCATCAGTCACCCAGGCAAGCGCCATTATTAAACTGGAGTTAGGAGAAGATAGGTTTATTGGGTGCCCTGTGGACATTGGAAACCCCCCAGCTGATATCACGTGGTACAAAGGAAATGATACCAGCGGCAGAAAAATGACTAACTGCTCAACTCTCGAGGTTAGGAATGTTGCTTCAAGTGACGAAGGATGGTACACCTGTTTTGCAAAAAATGAATTGGGAAATGCAACCGTCCGGTTTTTGCTATTTGTTGGTAAGTTAAATAGGTTTAAGTATGATTACTGACAAATCTAAGCTACTTTTGAATCTGGGGCCGACGTAAGTCAGCAATATTGTCAGCAAAGTCGTTAGCAAAGTACAAGGCCTCAGTGAATTATACTAGTATTCATTTTCTCTAATGGCATGTTACAGCTCTCTTTCCTTCAACATACTATCAGCAGAAGGAAAGAGCACAAAGGAATTTTTTAACCCTGTAAGAAAGTACTAATGCGTATTGATCTAAAGAAATTTTGAAAAAGCATTTATGCTATAACGCTTGTTATTCTACAAGGGAAGATAATTTTCATACGTATACATGCATACATCCATAATTGCACTAAACATTCGTCACGTCACATTGTTTCCAACTTGACATTAAATAATCCACGACCATCGATTCCTTGGAAACAAGTTGACTTAATTTTCCCTTTGATTCTTGTGCTCCTCTGGTTAACGCTTGGAAATAAGTGTTGTTCTTGGATTTCTCAGACAATTTTGCATCGCCATTGTTCTTACACTTTTATGTGGCTTTTAATGGTTATACTAGTCCTAGAAAATTATCGCGTAACGCAGGACCACCTTAAAACTTCTTCTGCGATTGGAGCATCCTGCTGAAATATTGTATTTATCATCAAGGGGTTCGTAATAATAATAATAATAGATTAAAAAATAATAAAATGTCTCGTTTTAAAGTCCAATGGCATTTTTCTCCAGTTAAACCAGCATCAAGTACAGTTACTACATCATCCCAAACAACTCCCACAGGTGATTGCTTTTCTTTTTTATACATTAAAAACTAGAGATCGTATTTCGATGTTACGAAGCGAGTAAAACATTATGAGGTTAATAAACTTGCTCTGCCACAGACGGTCGGGGACTACCCTGTAAACGTTAGACTGTAGATCTCTGACAAGTCATTTCAAGGGTTAGATACCGTAGTCGAGGCAATCGTATGCAAAGTTTCATGCCAACATCGGCTTTTATGTCAAAATTTCAAACCTCTCTTACTCTGTTTTACCTTTCCACATTGTCGACCTTGTTTACTCTTTAGTTTTAAAGGAAATAGTTGAGAAAAAAACGTTACGTTGTTTGTTTGCCTTTTTCCTTTACGGGACTCCAATAAAACCGCAATAACTGAAGTAAGAAGTATTCGCTTTATTCGCATCAGAAACCCATTCAATGTAGTGTTTTTCTAGACTTCAAAATGAGGTTCGATCCAGGTATAGTCTTTAGCCATGTTTTGACTTTCCTGTAGCATGCTGCAAGAGAAGACAGATTCGGTGATTTTAAAGTCGATCCAGACTCAATAAATAGAGAATAATAGGTGGGCGCGCGTAGATATGGTATTTCTCTTCGAGTGTTTAACTCGATAGCTCACAAGTAAGCACAGCGATACGGATTTTTTAGCGTTTTAGCCGCCATAATCCGAGAAAGTTCCGACAAACGACCTTGGATTGAGAATCGTGAAGGCCGTTCATTCATCAACCTGACCTAGTGGCGCGAAAAGCGAGTAACGTGTCAACAGCTGATTGGCGATATCAAACGTACTTGAAGAATATCGTATTTTTTTACGTGAGTTGTTGGGACTTTTCTCAGGGCTGGAAATCCTTGTATAACACCATAGTTTATATGATAAAACAAGTTTTGACGTCTGCAGATGGATTGGGAATTGCGACCAAAGGTACATGTTACAAAGAAACTTTTTCAGACAAAATTTAAAAAAAAAAAAATTATGGAAATCTTTATCAGTGATTGCCTTGTCTTCTTTTCTTGGTATAGCCATTTCTTTGAAGGAAATATATGCTCATTAGTTTTCGCAGTGTTGATTCATACAAAATTTTGGTTCCCAAACAGGGAGGGTAACACCCTGTTTTGCCTTAGTATTTAGACAGTCATAGTGCGCATTCTTTCGTTCACGTGCCTAAGCCATGTCATTAGATCAGTATTTTAGCCAGGATCAGGATAAAACATTGCTCGATTGTTGCTTCATTAAGCCTCATGAAACCAATCAACTTAGGTCCTGAAGAATGCAAGTGCTCAAGTAACGACGTCATGTTAAGAGCGTTTATTGGTATTCCTGCCTTCATAATCCTTGTTCTGATTATTTACATAATCTGGCTACACAGGAGAGGTGAGTAACAATTTCATTACTTACGTTAGAGTGGTGGGGCAGGATCCGTCATGAAGCAAGACAAACTTTTTTACCCCTACCCAAAGAATTCTGATTTTTACCTTTTTCCCTTCCTTAGGCGCTGTAGAGAAACAAAGGTAAGAATTTTCTCACACGTGGAATGGTTTGAGATTATTCTTTAGATATGGTATCATCCTAAAATAAAATGAAAAAAACTGACGAAGTTCATTTCCTAAATATTTTTATGTTAGCGCCAAAATGGCTGCCGTGAACTTTGAGCTCTCGAGAATTTTTACTTCGTTCTCTTTTTAAATAGTTTTTCATTACCCGAGCATTTATTCAAGAATGCTTGGATTGACCTCAAGTCTATCTTGCCATATCATAATACTGTTTACCATGATTTTGGGCGAGATCATGGCCCTTCGATTGCTTATATACACCGAAGTCTTGAATTTAACTTCAAATGTTTCGTCGAAGATTATGAATAATTTATTCTTATTAAAACTTACTTTTCGAGCGAGCTTATGACTAAGTTAATCAATTATCAGAGACTTTTCCTCCTAGAAGTTCTTAGGTTTTTATTTTGTAAATTCACATCAATGCTTGTTATCCTTACCTTAGCTTCATAATTTGTCATGCGCATATGAACATATTTGTATGGTATGTGCGCAATGTAAGTTCTTTATTCACTATTATTAGTATTACTATTAATATTCATTATTATTGTGATCTTATTTTTCTTAATTGTAGGACTTATGAAGAAAAAAGAAGTGTTTACGACGTAAGTTACAGCTAAGGCATTAAGGTTATATCGGTGCGAGGAGAAAGTTCGTGATCTTACTTTTAATGTGCTACATTTACAAGACATTCGAAATTTTTGAACGAAGAGAAAAAGGATTTTCCCAAAAAGCAGAAGGAATGCATTTAAAATGGGTGGTAGATACCATGTGATAAATAACCCATAACCGGATATGAACTCTGTCGTGGATGTTCTCGGTTGTTTTATTAGATTTATCTAAAGGTCTGCTTTCGGTGGAGATTTGCTTTTCAAATAAATCTTCAAATAATTCCATAAATCTCGATCAATCCGCTGATCATGATTCTTTTCAATGGTGGAGAGCATACTTTTTATTGATTTTAGTCATGACAAAGGAAGAAAATAACATAAGTCCGATGAAAATGCGTGAGCTGTTGTTGCCTAGTATAGCCTGTTGTTGACTTCATTGTTACAAACCCATTTTCCAAACGGTTGAACGGGTACATTGATTTAATAGAAAGTGGTGACGCTACAAGAAATCGAACCAAGTCGGCGCCATTCAAGCACAGTCATGCAGCCTTCTCCGGAAGACATGGATCTCAAAGACCCCAAGAAAGATAATAGAAAAGTACAAAGTACAAGTCCAGGTCACGCGCCTCTTCATCCAGCAAACCGCTCATGGGAAGAAATCGAACCAAGTCAGCGCTATTCAAGCGCAGTTACGCAGCCTTCCTCTGAGTACATGGATCTCAAAGAACCCAGGAAAGATAATGGATTTGTACAAAGTACAAATCCAGGTTACGCGCCTCTTCATCCAGCAAACCGCTCATGGGAAGAAATCGAACCAAGTCGGCGCCATTCAAGCACAGTCATGCAGCCTTCTCCGGAAGACATGGATCTCAAAGACCCCAAGAAAGATAATAGAAAAGTACAAAGTACAAGTCCAGGTCACGCGCCTCTTCATCCAGCAAACTGCTCATGGGAAGAAATCGAACCAAGTCAGCGCCATTCAAGTACAGTCATTCAGCCTTCTCCGGAAGACATGGATCTCAAAGACCCCAAGAAAGATAATAGAAAAGTACAAAGTACAAGTCCAGGTCACGCGCCTCTTCATCCAGCAAACCGCTCATGGGAAGAAATCGAACCAAGTCAGCGCCATTCGAGTGCAGTTATGCAGCCTTCTTCGGAAGACTTGGATCTCAAAGAACCCAAGAAAGATAATAGAATAGTACAAAGTACAAGTCCAGGTCACGCGCCTCTTCATCCAGCAAACCGCTCATGGGAAGAAATCGAACCAAGTCAGCGCCATTCGAGTGCAGTAATGCAGCCTTCTTCGGAAGACTTGGATCTCAAAGAACCCAGGAAAGATAATGGATTTGTACAAAGTACAAATCCAGGTTACGCGCCTCTTCATCCAGCAAAACACTCCTGGGAAGTTCCAAGACATAATGTTACAATCGAAAAAGTCATTGGCAAAGGTTCTTTTGGACAGGTTGCCAAGGGAACGGCAGTAGGACTTCAAGGGAGACCTGATACGACTACAGTGGCCATTAAGATGCTTAAAAGTGAGTCAAGTATTGATTTCAGAATATTTCTTACCTCTTTTTTTTTTCCTTTTTTAGGTTTTTGTTTTGCATATTATAAATATTTGCATTTAATTCTCCAGCTAACGCTGCTGAATCGGACAAGAGAGATTTGATGAAAGAACTTGAAACGATGAAGAAGCTCAAAAAACATCCTCACGTCATCAAACTTCTGGGATGTGTTACAGAATCTGGTATGTTTTGGTTGTGTAGGTTTTGTTTTACCATACGCATTTTCCTTGTAAATTTACCATCTAAGACTATCTCGTCAATATCATTTGCTTCAAGTTTTAGGAAAACGCTTTCTTTTGGTTTTCAGAGGAACCTCTGGTACTGATTGAATATGTTCCTTTTGGAGATCTGCTTGGTTACCTAAGAAAGAGCCGTGGATTAAATGACACTTACTACAAAGACCCGGATATTAAACCACAAACGAATCTGACGTCACAACAGTTGATGAAGTTTTCCTGGCAAATCGCCGATGGCATGAGTTACCTGTCCTCAAAATCTGTAAGTCACAAATACGAAAGGCATAATATAATTGTAAAAATTCCTTGTGGGGCGTACCGTCATGGTAAGCTTTTCCTTCATGCATACTATTTGATATCTTAAAAATACACCTCACAGGAGCAAACATATTCTTACTGTTTGGTTTCGGGTTTGTAGGGTGCACCCTCCAATTTTCAATGCTATCACCCATGTTTTTTTGTTATTATCATCATTTTTCTATTTTCGGTTGGCGATCGTCGTGCAGCCTTGCAGATGTACCTCACTCTCGACTTATTTTGGTCTCATTGACTCCTTTAAAGTTTTCAATTGCCAAAAGTTCACTGATTATCGAAAGAAAATTTTCTCCATTTCTCTTGGAAACTGTATCAGTACTAGCACATTTAATTTATTATCACTTAGGCTTATAAGAAATACGCACGTTGTTGATTTCGCTAAATATGGCCTTTTTTCAGAACTGAACCTTTTTTCAGTTTTTCAGTTGTCAATGCTATCACCCATGTTTTTTTGTTATTATCATCATTTTTCTATTTTCGGTTGGCGATCGTCGTGCAGCCTTGCAGATGTACCTCACTCTCGACTTATTTTGGTCTCATTGACTCCTTTAAAGTTTTCAATTGCCAAAAGTTCACTGATTATCGAAAGAAAATTTTCTCCATTTCTCTTGGAAACTGTATCAGTACTAGCACATTTAATCTATTATCACTTAGGCTTATAAGAAATACGCACGTTGTTGATTTCGCTAAATATGGCCTTTTTTCAGAACTGAACCTTTTTTCAGTTTTTTTCCTCTTTTAATCACTGATCTTCGCTTCCTTCACAATCCATTCCTTTAGATCATCCACCGAGATCTTGCAGCCCGTAATGTGTTAGTTGGAGAAAACGGAACATGTAAGGTAACAGACTTTGGAATGGCCAGAGATGTGCAACAGGAAAATATTTATGAACGAAAAACAAAGGTAATACAAAAATGGGGAGTACTCAGTTATATAACATTCAGCATAATCACCTTACGCAATAACTCTCGTGGCAGAGGTGACATTTTCATGGTTTCGATCATGGAATCTCTGGATTGGACCTGATGAGGAATTATAATAAAGTTCGGATATAACGCGCGCTGTCATTGGGTGAAAGAGAGTGCTCTATGAGAGTATAGAGCATAGAACTGAGCTAAAGCTGTCACGCCATCTGCCAAATTGTACCATGTTCGACCTTTTCCGGGACTTCTTTTTAGCTTTTTTCCGATAATTGAAAGTGAAATTTCGGAACAAGCGAGCCGGCAAGTAGTAACAGAAGAACCAAAGAAAGGTTTGTAAACATACCAGGCGCCGTTATTTACGCTATTAAAACGTGGGCAGATACGAAAATCCTCAAAGGAAAAACAAAATAGACATTCCGAGTTTTAAAGATTTTCACGCTCAGTAAGATTGCAAGCTTACGTACGGTAATGAAAATCAAACACAGCCAACACTCGTATAGTATATAAAGTTCAGAGTTCAAAAACAAAACAGAACAAAACAGAAATGATGAAAAATATAACCAAACTGGCATAATTGTTAAAATTCATACTAATCATGACGGTGTCTGAGCAAATATGATCATGCTGAAGTCCATCGCGGCTCACTTATCATGCCGATCTCCGGTCATCACAGTAAAGCAAGCCTCAGAAACTACATCGGCCGCCCTTCGAGTGAAAAAATAAGAGCTCCCTCTGATATCCTTTCCAATGTGTTGAGTGGAAAGTCACTTCAGTCACTGCAGCCGAGTTTTGCGGCGCTGTCATCCCGAGCGATCTTCATGTTCCGGTGAATTCGGCTGTCGTTCATTTAAAAAACACTCGCCTTGAACAGTTTGTTTTCTACCTTGTCATGTGAAAAAACCCGCGTGTTTTTATGAGCCATAATTCGGCTGAAGTTCACTTAACATTTCACTTCAAGATTCTGAATTAAAAACTTCAGGCAAAAGTGTTAAATTCGACCTGCCGAATTATTTTAGTTTGTAAACTATCGCAGAGTGTGAACTTTGATGGTTTTTGAACTTTGATGGTTTGACACTTTTGACAGCTTTTGTCTTGTACAGCCAATCAGATTATTTGAACCATTCTAACAGGGGTTCTGATTGGCTTATTGTAGCGTGCTCTATGAGAGTATAGAGCATGCTGACGACACTGTTCTTCGCTTTGGAAATAAAGTTTGTTTTGAACATTGAAAGTAATACATGGGGAATTTAAGGGATTCTTTATTATAAAACAAATAGAGAAGCCTTGACTGTGCTCTGTTCTGTTATAAAGCACGCAGGAAGCGGCTAGAGCACGAAAGAAGTGACACGAGACACGAGACGTAGTCGAGTGTTTCTTCCCAATTCTATTTGTTAAATAACGGATACTTATAGAGTACTATTTCATCTGTAAATGTCGTTGATTGATCGCTTACTATTTTTGTTCTGTTACCCAAATCTTTAGGGCCGTCTTCCAGTGAAGTGGACAGCTTATGAGGCGTTGCTCTATGGTGCATATACCACCAAAAGTGACGTGTAAGTATACCTGATCATAACTCTTAAAGATGGCGTCTATAAAACAAATGGTTCATGCTTAGTGTGCGTAAATAGAGGTAGGGATTGGTATGGATGTTTGTGGGAAGTTTGAAGAGCACAAGAGAAGCGTAAGAATTCCTTTAGGAGCGGCTGACAGCAATTCTTGCTTCGTGAGCGCTCCCCTGGCTTTCCAAGTGCACCCACAACTCGATATACGCACAGTTACAGGCATCGACCAATTGTTGTATGACACAACAGACACAATTTGTCCACGATATAATAATTGCGTGCTACCTGAAAACTGAAAATGATAATTACCGATCCGAATAAGAGTCCAAATGGCGCAAAGCCTCACTTGAAATCAGCAAGTTAGTTATCTTTTTCCAACCATTACCCGTATCGCGTTCGGGAATCGAAATATCGTTAACTCTAAAGCTAATTTCGTTGCCTCTAGAGTTAAATGTCCATTCAGTTTCCGAATCTCATGATATTTGGCATACTTACCTTTTCACTATATGCCTCAAATTCAATCTTTAAAACGATTAAGACCCGTGGTTAAACTGGAAGGGAAATTATAGACCTTGTACAGTGATGACTCAATAGTTACCAATAAGATGATAGAAGCCCGCACTAGGTTATAAATTTCCATTATGTAAATTTTAATACTATAAATAAGGATTAAAAACTTTGTCAAACAAAATATTTCGTCTGCCTCATAAAATGTGTATGTTTTCAACCAGCCATTTTACTCATGTTTTCTTTGCCTCCCTGCAGATGGAGTTATGGAGTTGTTCTTTACGAGATTTTCACCATAGGTAACATTTGATGTTGTATATAGAAAACGAGTACGAGGGTTTGATCGCGGTATCCAAATATTGAGAAACAAAGGAAAGCATGAGGCCGCTTCGACCGAGTGCCTTTATTTGTTTCGTGATGTTTGGATGCCACCATCAAAACCCGAAGCACGAGGTTTAGATTGCTTCTTAAACTGCCTATATTATTTACCAGATAAAATCGTAACACTATTGTTACGTTCTTTTCATTGGTTGCATAATTTTGGAAATCATTATCAGCTATCATACATCTGTTTTCTGTTTGGGGTTTCTTTGGGTAATTTAAAGTGTATGCTAAGTTTATAGTAGTTTTGCTCATTTAGTTTATAGCTCCATGGTTAGTCGGAGCTTGATTATGGCAGAAAGTAATGCAGTTAGCCGTTTTCGTGTCCCAAAAAGCGGTGAAGAGGAAAGTAAACTGCTAAAGGAAAGTGTTCCTAAATCAATCACTAGTGATCTAGATATGCGTTTTTATCAAGTATCTAGATTCATGCACGTGACGCAATTCTTTCCCCTCATTGGAAGATAACCTCATGGATAATTAATTAGTTTGAGAAAGAAATTTAAGAGATTTTGTGGATTTTTTTTGCCATACACTTCTTTGAATTGAGCAATTGTGTAACCGAAGTAATTGGGCTCATACTTTTATTTAAAATATCCATACGTCATCGTTACTAAACTTGAGCAAGGAAAATACATAAAAGGGAACTCACAATAGAGGAGAAGATTTTACGTGCATAGCTATACAGGCATTTAAAAAAACAACAAGGCTGCCTCTAAAAAGTGGACATAAACGTTGATGCACAGGAGTTAATTTATCCACAAAACTTGACAAATTACTCGACATAAAATACGTAGTATTAAGCAACGATATAAATATCAACCACAAGTACACAATACAGCTAATAAAATTTACAAACACTCAGAGGTAATTAACACGCAAACGCAAAACACACGGGAACTCCGGTACGGCAAAAAGTTTCGCGTTTAACAATGCATTTTCTTCAGTTAGATAAACTTCCCATGCAAATTCATACTCCATCGAATGATATGGGTGGTGCTTTCAGTGATGGTCATTGTTTAAGACATTAACATGCCGATTGACTTGTTGATCTCTTTCAGGCGGTTCACCTTACCCAAGAATGGATGGAAAAAAAATTGCCAACTTACTTGGAGAGGGCTACAGAATGCCTAAACCACAACACGTGGATAATGAATTGTAAGCTTCTATCAAGTCTTTCTCCTTCCTTACAACAGGAAATATTATATAAACTCTTTCACATCAACTGATGTTTGGTGTTCGCAAGATGAAATAATATCGTATTCCATATAAAAAATTCTAGGTATCAGATCATGATGAGATGCTGGCAAAATGACCCGGATGAAAGACCAGCTTTCACCGAATTAAAAAAACAGCTTAAAGACATGGAAAGTCTACACGAGGTGAAAATTATGGTGGATAATTTTCTTTTACGCTGGAGTATCTTTAAATTCATAGATTGTCATTCAGATGGCCTAACTTGATATTTCCTCATCTCTTCCAATTTGTGCGAAGTTTGAATTGCTTCTTCCTGTTGTTTCCTTGAAGCAAACAAAGTAAAGGTTATTATCGGTTATTATCGGTATGCGAGAAGCAAAATATAATGTTCCAACAACAGAAAAATCTTTATAGTCATTATATAAAAGATGATAAGACTACTGCAAAATTGCACTGAGATGCCCAAAAAAATAGCGAATGATGAAGTTCTGTAATTCTAAAGAATACTTGTACCTGACAGTTCATGTGGATAACTCATGATATTACGTAAAGGGGGAGCACATTCAGTTTCATAATGTTATTGTTTTCTTTTTCTTTTTAGAGGCTGATCAACATGAGAATTTACGACAAGAGGTTGTACGTAAACGTCGAGGATTTGATAGTGTAGTTAAGTACACGTCAGTGTTTGATTGGCGAACTGTTTGAACATTTTGCCGCAACAAGCTCTATGGAATGACCATCCTCGCTTGAAAACTCTTTTGCCGGGAAAACCAAAGTTTCCTTTTTTCTGGGGAAGCTGTCGAACATTTCTTTTTGCTTTTACTTGGACCGCCAATACTGTTGATACCGAAGGCAAAGACTCAGGCACTGAAAACTGAGCACAAGTCTCATTATGCGGTTTTTTCTAAGTTGTTCTTGTACTGTCTCTACTGTTTAAAAGGTGTACAATTTGGCCGAAGAGCGCGATAGTTTCGTACTTTCCAGATACGACTACTCAATCAGCTGAGCCGATGGATCGTAATTAATTTCCTTCTGAAGACTGACCATAGCCATATTTTTCGTCTCATCTTTGTACCGTAGGTTATCCACTAAATAAAAAAATTTCAAAATATTGAAACACAACGACAACCTAAAGTGGGGCTCTGTCCTATCCCATTGCGCTTCAATACGGTTGTCAATTAGAGCAAATTCCGAAGTCTAAGGTGTTACTGACTGTGAGTTTTCAAAAGTCACGTTATTTGATGCAATTGACCTTTCGTCCCTTGAAGTTCTTTTTTCGAAACTGAATTACATCTGCATAAGTTAAAAATCTCTGCCATGTGTGGAACCCGAGTACTCCTTTGTCACCTTGTAATTTTTGTAAGTGAACGTCGCCTCGTTAGAAGGAATCTATCGAGTTGTGCCTGTTTGTTTTAAAATTTGCGCTTATTACGCGATATTAAGAAGGGGCCAGCAAGGTGATAATGCGATTCCTTATTTTTCACTTTCACGTCATACGGCAACTTTCACCTTTGCGCGTCACGGTTAAATTCATCGTTGAAGTCTACCTTTGACTTCCTTCCTGACCCTTCTCTAGAAGTCCGAGTTTATACTTCTCTATGCTCTACAAGATAAGAAGCGTAGAAGCAGTCTCTTCAAGATGAAAGAGCATTTTGTGTTTGTTACAGAAGAAGGGAAATATTTGCTTCGTTCATCAAGCCGTAACAGATAACACTCAAAAGAAAACCTCCTGCACCGTAAATAGTAAGCGGTTCGTAAATATTATTTCACGCGCATTGCAAAATATCGAAGGATGATTAACACATAAGTCGCTATTTGGCGCGAAAATATGCTCCTACATTTGTCCCTGGACACTACCTGTTCCTTGATGCTCACAATTTTCCTCGAGTTTCGCTTTCAGAAAACTGTTCGTAGCTTGAAACAGATAATGTCCGCGGACAAATATCCGTGCCTATTTTCGCGCCCAATAGAGGCTATTGTCTATATATTCCCCAAGTGACATTCTCCAGTTTCAAAAGCTTATGTCCAATACGATAATTCTGCGTTTAAAATTTCATTCAATGTGACAGAGAGTTTGGAGAAGAGGAGAAATATTTCTTTGTCTATAAAGTCGTACCAGAGAACGCTGAAAAATGCGGAACATCCCACACAGTAAACGTTAAGCTGATCGTAAACATTTTGTCCCTCGCGCGGCAAAAATATATTAACGATAGCAAATACAGCTCAAAAATGTTTTTTCTCGGAACAGATCGTGTCTGCGGGAAAATATCTGAACATATTTTCGTGCTAAATAGGAGCAACGGCACATATGTCATAAGGCGGCGCATAGGAACAAATCAGGGACTTGAACCCCTCGAAACATGTTTAAAACAGCATAGTTATAACTAAAAGCATGATTTCGAGTGTAATTTAGTGTTAATATGCACGAGTAAATCTCACTCGCGTTTTAAAAGGCAACGAAGTTTCAAGAGCCCGTAGGGCGAGTGCGACTTTTAGTCTTTAAAAAATTACAAGTGCTTATTTACACCAAATTGCACGAGAATTGTTACTCGTTAATAGTTTACACGAAAAAGGCATCACAGATAGTCAAGACAGACGAAATTTTGACAGTCTTGTTACAACTTTGCACTCGTTTTACAGGAAAAATGCATTCGTTTTCGGCCAATCAGAAGCGCGTAATGTTTCTAAGTATATTGTTACATGAGTTATCAGGGTCGGTAACCAGGGACAGGTTTTACCATACTGTTTCTTTTGGACTGTTATTGATGTGAACCAGTTGAACAATTTCATACAATTTATTCTCGTGGAAGGCTCTGAAGGGTAACCAACATTCCCTTTATTTTAGTTGTTAGCTTTCAGTCGCTACAAACTTCGTAGCCATGTTACGGATGCTCTTACTCAGCCCCTCAATTCACACCTACTAGTGCAACATGTTTTTGTTGAGTGAGATATGTGACGGAGGAGGTCCGACATAAATTTTGGTTTCAGCTTATTCCACCAAAATGAAAACTGACTATGGGAATTTATAAAATGCCACCAATATGCCTCAACAGTCTTACTTTAAAAAAATTGTCGTCCCCATTCCTTTGCATGCATCAAATTTCTCGCTTGTTACATGCATACACACTCATTTTGCCGCTGTGTCACCTTAAAAGGGAGCATGCGCGAAAGCTGACTTTACCATCACCACATGCATTTGTTGTGTACTTGATCTTACATCACTGTCACCCAATCACAAAACAAGTTCTCTCAATCAAGTTCAAAACAAGTTGTCTTAATCCGTCATCATAATCACAATCAAGGTCTTTTTTCAGCAGGTGATCATTTCCTTTCAGGGGTTGGTTTTTTTGGGGGAGAAATTTGATGCTAGTCACACTACTCTACAATTCGTTAACGCTATTTCTTGTGAACACAGTTTAGACTTTTTGCTACTACCGTGTCAACCTCAATTCAGGAATTAAGTTTGAGGAAAGCACGCCAGAAGCAGGACGTCTGAATCAAACTTAAACTAAGTTCGGCAAGGTCTGCCTTGCTAAACGACTCTGGCGCGACAGCGATTCAAACGTCGTGGCTCTGCTCTACAAAACAAAATGTATAAATTAGGCTAATGTATCTGGGTGGGATTGGGTGTTCTTAACTGAGCCTTTGTTGAGTTTACAGGGAAAAGCGTGAACTAATTGTCGATTAGTGTCACCCCTTCTGGACAGAGATGTTTTTCTTAGCTTTTGCTTTTGGTTGAGTGTTTGTATTTCAGATTGGTAAATAGAGACAATACATTAAGATAATCCTATTGTCTTTGGCTGTATGGCTTTTTCCATCAGTTACTCCAACACGGGCTTTACAAGTAATATCTGAATTTAATACATCAGATATATTGTACTGTCATAAACTATTGTCCAGTCACTGTAATGTTCACCTTTATGGCGCATATAGTTCAGATTTTTCAACTCTTACTCTATGAGGTTTCGTTTGAATGGTCTGTCATGCCAAACCTAATAAGAAATCCAATAAATCTTCTACCAACGTGAACGAATCATTTTTCTGCGGCCTACCTTGCATCCGTCAGTGGGTTCACAACCTCGTTAGCCACTTTAATCTCCGATGTCTTAACAAAATATAGTTCACAGTCGGGCTAAGCCACCGTTCTTTGGTTTTTGGACACGAAAGTTGATTGATTCGGCAGTAAAAGTCCGTTTATAACTATCCAGAGAACAACCTTGGGATGACATGTACTGAGCACAAAAATATCCCGAAGAAATTTATTTCCAGGAAGTGAGACATTTGCTTCCCTTTTTTTCAAAATATAATTATTTAGGGCATCCTATTGTGTAATTCAAAGGCACTAGCACCGAAGCTTTAATTCTTATGGAAAATCCACCCCATCATCGTTTAAACGAAAGAGACAAACAGTCTGCTGAAGTCTTTGCTATGTATTGCGCAAAAGTAAACATCTCGCTTGTATTTGATCACCTAAGCTTGTCATAAGGTAAAACATTTTAGATGATCTCGTCGATAGTTATAATATGAAATCAGCCGCCTTATCAACATTTCAATAGCAAGTCACCAGGCATTGATTATTCGTAATTCACCATGGAGTTACCAAAACTTTTACACTATGCCTGATTGCTCATTTGAAAGGGTTGCATCTTAACTAGTTCTTTTTTTTTTAAGTGAAGACTTGTACTACAAATGGGCCAAAAACTGACAACTGTAATTCAAAAATTATACATCGATGTATGTTTCCTCGACAGAAGTACAGATTACTTCGCAGAATCGCTACTTTAAGGATATTGCTCCGGTTTCCAAAATTCTATCTGGTCAAGCAAATAGTGCAACAAAATTAATTTGCTGAAAAAGGTTAAATAAAACTTCCATCTTCGGACCGTCTTAGCCACTGGAATTCATGACCAAGCATGGCAGTGATTTCACCGGAAGAGCAGTCGTCTCCCACTGGAAAATAGGGTGGTGAGAATCGAAGGTGAGGTATTTGTCGGTGTGGGTAGGTTTACGGTAGACATTTGTCTCTAAATTACCCTGTACCCCTCTGGACACATTTAAATCAACCACCCTATATGCCATAAAAAAGTCTCTAGCCAAAACTTTACTTAGGAGGGCTGACTGTCTACCATCTTCACACGATTCGAAGGCTAAGGAGAGGAAATATGTTTCCAATGTCCTAAAGGCAAACGGCTATACAAAAACTTTTCTCCGTAACTGCCAAAAACCAGTTACAAATAGTAACGCTCTTGATGAAAGGGAACCAGCGACTGGTTTTGCTGTTATTCCTTACATACAGGGTGTTACGGAACCCATCAAGAGAATTTTGAATAGCCACAACGTTAAAGTTGCTCAAAAATCTTTTCAGACTTTGGGGCATATTTCAGCCAAACCTAAGGATCCTGTCACGAAAGAACAACGAACCGACGCCATTTATTCTATTCCTTGCAATGACTGTGACAACGAATACATCGGACAGACCAAACGTCAGTTTGGTACACGGTTAAAAGAGCACCAAAAAGCGGTTTTCCTTTGCAATAGGAAAATTCAGCTTTATCGGAGCATATATGCCTAACTAACCATACAATTGGGTAGGATAATTCTAAAATTATCACCACTAATCGGCGTTACCACCAGCGCCTTTGTTTGGAGGCTTGGCATATTAACTCCGCCCACGCTCCTTTAAATCGTGACGATGGCGGTTTGCTTCCTGACGCCTATTTACACCTCGTCAGAAAAAAGGCCGCTAATAAGTGATCATAGAAAAGGACCTCTTGTTGCAACGTTTAGATCACCCCTGATGATACTCTAAACAAGAGTGTCGAAACGTTGGGTCTATGAATTGTAACTTCTTCGGTTACATTCATTAAATCTACAAACCAGAGTAGCATCAAACTATGTCTGATTGTCCACCTGGTTGCCGTGTGAACTTTAATGTAATGAAAAAAATACTTCCAAGTAAAACGTATCACATAAAAGGGTCTTGATATTAACAGGCAAGTCAGGAATTTAAAGAAAGCGACAAAACTTTTGAGTTTGTAAAACATGTTTCGACAGAAACTTCTGTCACCTTCTGTATTAATCGT